CTTGTTTTGCAAAATATTGTCCCCAAGTCAGTTATTAATGCTGTTGCACGTCGATGTGATGTTTACAAAAGGGATATTCAATCGATAATAAAATGTTAAAAACTTGAGGCGTAGATTTATGTAAATTTTTTGTTTTAATATACAATCGAATACATACAACTGTACACATTATGGGTGTTCTACTTGGGCTCAAAAGTAAACATACGAACATTGAAAACACTTTATGTTGTGTATGATGTTGCTGTTCTGTTCTTTTTTTGCTAATAGCATATCAATGTTGTGCTTTTTTTCTCTGCTGTTTGTGTCAACATCATTGTCATCATATGCCAATATTATAACTGTAATGGATCATCATCACCATCGTCATCATGGGTTGTGCTCGCTTGTAAACTAAATTGAAAATAAAAAACGGAACAAAACAAAAAATGACAAATAGTTTTTAATTGTTTTCTTTTTTTGTACCTTTGTTTTAGTCAATACTTTCAATGCCATAAGACACACATATATACCATATCTTTGATTATCTCAGTCTCAAATAGAATTTTGTCATTATGACAGTTTGATGGTGCAATTAGGTAACTATTTTTTGTATTGCAGGCAAATATCGGTAAAGTTAAAACTCATGTTTTAATGTAAAAAATAAAATGTGAGTCAACTTATTCATATCTATCAGTAGGGCTTAACGACCACTAAACGTCGCTAATTTACCGAACTTTTTTGGTAATAAACGAAATTAAAAGCAAATGAAAATTTGCAGTTATCGACATTTGTCGATAATTCTGTCGTTAAACTGTTACGGAATAGCACTACTGACAATCTATAGGCTCACGATTGTACCTTCTCGAAAATTAAGATCTCCCTTATGTGACTTGCTTACCGACCATCATCTGGATTACTAAATTAATACGTTTGTTTGTGATATTTGTTTCAGTACAGGGAATATCCTTATTTATTACCTTCGTAGAGATCGTAATTTTAAATTGTTTTCTCATCCTGTGAAATTTCTTATCGCTGTTTGAGTTTGGGTCATGGACGGTCTCTGCGGATTGATAACTGGCATCGTCTGTCATGCATATGTCGTCCCATATGTCAGCTAGAATTCAATCCTGACTTAAGCGAAAAGTACTCAGCGTTTGATGTGGTCATTGATGCCACTTAGAACTTTAGCAAAGTAGCTCATACATGGATGCTAAAAGAGTCCAAGTCTGAAAACTAATTCTAATATGATTAGGGGTCTGTCTAAATTGAACAATTGTTAAAAACGTATTTTGTATACACTGATGGACAAAACTTAAGCAACTGAAATATCAAACTGAATAAATTACCTGTAACTTTTTTTAATAAACTTATAGTGAAAATTTTTCAGAAATAAATAGGTAGTTTATTCATTATTACAGTTATCGACAGCATAACCATTTTTTTCATTGGGCAGCACATCTACGAGACAGAGAATCAATAAAATGCTCAATTTGATCCTTGGGTATACTATTCATTGCATCCTGAACCTTTGGGAAAGGGCAATGTCTGTTTGTTTGTGAAACTCTTTTGATTTTGCTATCTGCGATACTCCTAAGATTTTTCTATAGGGTAAAAGTCTTATGATTGTCTTGGCCATTATAAAACCCTGATTTTTGACTAAAACTAAATTGATCCAATTCTTGCTTAATCAAAACTAAAGCAACTTTTTAATGTGTTTCTTATAAATAAGAAAATTTTTCTAGTAATCGACAGCATAACTATTATTTTTCATTACGGCAGCACACCTACGAGACATAGAATCAAAAAAATGTTCAATTTGATCCTTGGGTTACTATTCCTTGCATCCGGAACGTTTGGGAAAGGGCAATGTCTGTTTGTTTGTGAAACTCTTTTGATTTTGCTATCTGCGATACTCCAAAAAATTTTCTATAGGGTAAAGGTCTTATGATTGTATTGGCCATTATAAAACCCTTATTTTTGACTCCATCCAATCAATCTTTTACATGTTCCGGTGTATGTTTGAGGTTATTGTTTAAAATAAAACAATTACTTTGAAATAAAACAATTTCTATGGAAAAGTAAATAGACCCAATTTTTGCTTAGTCAAAACTAAAGAAACTTTTTTATTTTTTCTTTTAATTAAGCAAAATTTTGCGACAAATCGCTAGCATAACCATTATTTTTCATTACGGCAGCACACCTACGTGACATTGAATCAATAAAATGCTCAATTTGTTCCTTGGGTATACTATACCTTGCATCCTATACCTTTGGGAAAAGGCAATGTCTGCCTGTTTGTGAAACTTTTTTGATTTTCATATCTATGATACTCCAAAGGTTTTTCTATAGGGTAATGATCTGATCATTGTGTTGTCCATTATAAAACCCTGAGTTTTGACTCCAACTAATCAATCTTTGAAATGTTTCTGTGTATGTTTGGAGGTTATTGCCAAGCTGAAACACGCAAATAAGCGGTATATTTTCTTCAGCGAAGGAAACCATAGAGTTTTCTGAATCATTTGTATAAACAATCCAATCAATTACTTCATAAATCTCGTAAATATATCGAACTCCATAATGAGAAGAACAGCCCAATAACATTATTGACCCGTTCCATGCTTCCAAGTACCCTTGAAATACTGTGGCATGAGCCTTTCATTTCTGGTCTTTCTCATGGTAACTTTTTTCTTTCCTGAGTCTTTTATATATAACTTCAATTCATCCGAGAGAATATTTCTTTACTGAGTCGGATTCCAATTAATATGAGCTTTTGCAAAAGACAAACTGGCTTTCCGCTTCTTTTCAGAAAAAAAAGATCTTTTTTGATAGTTTCCGGGCATGTAGGCCTGCTGCCGTAGCTCGTCCTCGTCTGTTCTTGAGGTTATATCCAACGATATGTTAGGTTTGGGGATGTGTAGTCACTAACTGTGACTGCAGCAATCGTAGACCGTCCGGTCCATTGTGATCATCCATGACACATATGGAGAGATGTGTAGGGGAGAAAGGGAATAGAGAAGACAAGAAGCTAATAAGGATGCAAGAGGAGGTAGATAGTAAATAGTATCGGTGACGTGCTAAGGTTGCTCTTTCCCAACCACCTTAGGTTTCTGATGATGCTGTAGATTAAAGCATAATCATTAAAACCTGTCATTGCTCTAATTTCATCTTTTTCCAGGTTCAACAGTGTGTTTGTTCTTTTGGCTGGCAGATCTTGACACATTGCACATTAACTTCGTTGTGCCCAAGTTCATTTTCTCGTTCTCGTCAAAGAACGTATCTTCTGTGCTGAACTGTCACTACCAATTTAGTTGCATTAAACCTACATATAATACGAGAAATCACGGATTTATTTATGGAATATTTCTCCAACATAATTTTTGTTGTACATTTTTTTTATAATCACTGAAAGTTAGCTGTTTTATCGGAGTACTGTATTTATTTTATATTTATGTTTTTTGGCAGTAAGTCAAAATTGAAAACCAGACACATGTTATCCTAATAAAATCTATTTAATCGATCTTTAAGAATCGAAATAGGTGTAGAAACAAAAACATAGCAATTATAATGGTAAAAATTACTAACATTTCAAAGCTCATCTGTTTGTAATGTAGAGTTGCTTTAGTTTTGTCCAAACAAAAATTGAGACAATTCCCTTATCCATAAATTATTTTTTATTCCACAATGAATATTGCATTAATGTTTTTAAAACTGAGAAACCCAACACGTGGCCTTTGTTAACTTTTATGGGGCCTTTCTTAACTTTGCAATTTTAGTTGCTTTAGTTTTGGCCACCAGTGTATATGCTACTTAACCAATTACATAAATAGCAACAATTCTCCCACTTTTGACAAATTTCCAATACAATTCATCTATTTGTTTTGGCACACCCCAAACACCATTGTTTGCACTTGGACAAATTGTAGATCATATGATACACGACATATTAACGTCAACATCATCTTCCAATGATAGATTTTTCATTCCATTCCATCACATTTGTTATTGTTGTTCTGCTACTTTTTGACAATTAGCATCTACTAATAAAATCAATATACGTCTTCTTTTTATTTTGGGAGCAAAGTAGATTTATAGAAAAACAAACAAACAAACGAAAAAAATAAAAATTGCGTCGAGTTCAGCTCGGGAGAATGAAGTTATTGTTGTTAAACGCGGAGAAGTGTATTCAAACATGAGAATGGCGAACACGTGTTATATGGTGACAATTTCAATACGATAACCTTGGTTTGGTATATAATTATAACCTAATATCGTTAATAATGTTTCAACATATCTTAAATACTTAGATTGAGATATTTCTATAAGGTGGTTCCATGTAGGCATATTGCTTCCTTCGTCCCTACACCTTAATTTATACAGAAATATATCGATTATGGCCGGAATATGAAATGCATTAAAAGCTTTGACTATTTCATTATAATGAAATTGTTGTGGTATGGCAGGTGTTGCTACATCGGCTTTGCCGATATGAAACATTGATATAGACTGTAGTCAATCGAATTCTAAATAAAGCGAAATAAAAATTAATCTATTTTAATAATTTTTATATTTACTATTTTACATACTTACATTTCTTTATTTACATTCATCATTTTTAATCTATTTCATTACTCTTATTTTCTTATCGTTGTTTTTTTATAGAGATTTTATCAACCACGACCACTTGTTTATCTCATGGATGGCAACAAGAAGAATATCAGCTAAGATAATGCAAACAAAATAGACTATCTACGACTATTGTTAATATAAATTTAACTATTATTTATTGTAAAACCAAACAAACAAAAAACATAAACTACATCATCAGAGAAAGGACTTTTGTTGTTCCGATACAAGACAAAACAAACGTAACGAAACAACCAACAACTACAATAAACAAACAACAACACAGCGATTGTACAATATACAACAAACAAAAATAAGTCAGTCGGTCATTCTGTCGAGACATTGAGTCAACTCAACAGAGCTAGAACGAAACGAAATCATTATCATAGTGCAACACTTGACAAAATCTATAACCTAAAAAGGCAAAAAGGCATCACTATGAAATACACAAGCAACAATAACAACGCTGACAACCAAAATACAACAAATGGCAGTAGCGGCGGCAGCAGCAGCAGCAACAGTCATAATAACGCACCAACAATAGTCACGTCTCCGACGTTGACATCCACAACCAATACGACCAATGGTGGCAACACTAATACCACCGGGAATGCATTGTTTTGCGAGCAAGTGAACACGGTCACAAATCTCTTCGAGAAATGGAACGATTGTGAGCGTACTGTTGTAATGTATGCCCTGTTGAAGCGCCTACGCTATCCCAGCCTGAAATTTCTACAATATTCCATTGATAATACCTTGACACAGAATATGGGTTCCACATCCAATCTAAGTACCGTTGTCATCGACATGAATGCCAACAATCCATCGTATTTGCAGAATCTATTGAATGCCTACAAGACATTTCATTTGGGCGATTTAGTCGATACCCTGTCGTCATCATCATCGGACAAGGATTCAATGCCATCGTGCTATGGATCTGATTTTCAATTAACACAATGTGATGAGCGGAAGTTGTATGGCAAAAAGGAAGATATATTGCATGAGGTATTGAATATGTTACCTCTACTGAAGCCGGGCAATGAAGAGGCCAAAATGATATATTTATCGTTGATACCGCTGGCCGTAAAGGATACAATAAGACAAATTGTACCAACAGAATTGGTGCAGCAAATATTCTCCTATATGTTAATACATTCAGCTATATCTAGTGAGGATCGTAGGTGAGTAATTGTTTTTTTATGAAACAACTTTTGTATTATTTTATTCATTTTAAAATATTGAACAATTCATTTTGAACTTATGAAATTATTTAAAAAGTTGCTGACCATTAAATAGAAGTCAAATATTAAAACTGTTTTGTACTTTTTATGTAACTATATTCCAAATGATAATAGAGAATATGTACCACGGTAGCCCCAAACGGATAATCCGATATTTATACACCTTTAAGAGATTATTATACACATACAATTCTTGTCCTTAAGCGAGAGGCGATTTTTTAAAATTTAATTGAGGAATTTATGTTGAAAATATTATCCATTTTTAAGGGTATTATATCTTTGTATGGTCAAAGAGTTTGTAAGGTCGCGAAATATTGGCCCTAGAAGCACCGATAGTCATATTTCAACTAGCCAGTACAATCCACAGTTATTACAAAATTATTTCAGATTTAAATGCTGAATTTATTACGAAATTCTGCATTTATGTCCGGATCTGACGCTTTAAAAATCTACATTATGTTTTCGGTAGAAATCGGGTGATATTTAGGTGATGAAATGGACCAAAGAAATGGTGGAAGCAAATGACTGTATTTATAATGATCGACCAATATTTAGCGTTAAAAAAAATGGACAAGACTTTTTTTGTGTAAAATAACAACATGGCACCCACTAGTCTGTGCCGCCTGTAAGCCAGGGTCGGACAGTGACACAGAAGATGCTCAATTGTCTCCGTCTCCTCCTCGTCAATGCAGAGTCTACAGTAATCAATTGCATCAAGATCCCATTTACCAGTAAAGGCCCTGATATTGCAATGACCAGTAATGATTCCTGTCATTACTCTTATTTCAGCTTTGCTCAGGTTCAACAGTGAGTGTGTCCTTTTGGTAGACAGAGTCAGCCAACTTGTGCCAAAGTTCGTAGGCTCTTTCGTCGAAGAACTCCTCAAAGTTCTGGTAAAGATGTCATATGGGTGGTTTGATTGAGCCATCAATTGTTAGATCTCTGGATTGAGATCCTCGTCTAGCTAATTCGTCTGCTCTTTCATTACCCAAGATGTCACGGTGTCCTGGTACCCAACACAGCCGATAGCTGTACGTAAGTTTTTCCAAAGCCGCTCTATACTTGAGGACGGCCTCAGCATCCAACGACCTCTCCATCCAGACTTTATCAATTCCGGAAGATTTCGCCTTGGAAAACACTACAGTTGCAATCTAGCTTGTACGTTAACTCAAGCCCTAGCTTTTTACAGTAGACGCCTGTCACTGTACCTTCTTCCATCTTGGATCCTTGGATCCGTCTGGAGGAGGGCTACTTTGTTTCCAGTCGTCTCTACTAGGAATAACGACATCTACATCAAATCTCAGGACTGGTGATATATAGTCGCTTAGTTTTACGCGTTGGTCCAATGTAATACCGGCTCTTTGTACCTTATCTAATTTCCTGGATGTCGACTTGTGGCGCAGAGAGTTCCACCACACAAGATAGCCATAGGATAGGATGGGCCTTACCACGGTGTTATACATCCAGTGTATAGTGGATGGTTTTAGCCCCCAGCTTTTCCCAATGGAGTTCTTGCATGCATAGAGTGCAATCAGCCCTCTCTTCGTTCGTTCCTCAGCGTTCCTATTCCATCGTAGTTGGCAGTCCAGGATTGTGCCAAGGTACATTGCTTCGGGTGATAGATAAAGTTGCACTCCATCCAGTGTTGGCGGAGCAAAAACTCCGATCTTACGCTGAACATTACCAGTTTCGTCTTTGTTGGATTTACACCAAGGCCGTTCGCCCTAGCCCAACGTGACAGCGTCAGTAAGGCTCCTTGCATAATCTCCGAGATTATTGACGGGAATTTTCCGGAAATCAATATCACCACGTCGTCCACATAAGCTACAACTTTAATACCTTTCCCGTCCAATTCGATCAGTATGTTATTTATTACCAATAGCCATAGCAACGGCGAGAGCACCTCTCCCTGAGATTTACCTCCAGTTACCATTTTCCTGATTTTTGTATCACCCACACTTGAATTTATAATTCTGATGTATAGCATTTTATCTATCCAATACGTAATGGTTTCAGGAATGCCAACTTCTTTAAGTGAGTGGTTTATGGATTCAAGTTTAACAGCGTAAAATTGAATTGAATTCGAGCTACAGTGGGCACCGCAAACTGCTTTATTAAAAACAGCGTTCGAAAATAAACATTATGGTACCGTTCCATAGTGTTATGTACCGTACCAAGGTGGATAGGTACACTAAAATAACGTACTGTACAGGTACACAAACACTAAAAATATTTTTAGCGTTACTGTTCCGGAGCACAACGAAAATCTTACCGTACCAGCTGCGGTACACTAAAAATCGTAGTGTACCGACTGCGGTACATTAAAAATCGTTGTGTTCCACTGGTCGGAACACTAAAAATGTTAGTGTTCCACTGCACTATAGGTAATTTGGACAGTTTTTGGGCAAAAAGTCATTTTTTCAATTTTGGAAAATAAAATCTTTTTTGATGTCATTAAAAAGAAAACATGTCAAATTTTATGAATCTGTAAGATTTTTTGCGTAAAAGTGTCTTAAAAGCGGTGAAAATCGTTGCCAAACTCTAAACTTTGAAAATAAAATTAAAGAAATAAAAAAAATTAATAAATCAAGTCGTATTTTAAACCGTTTAAAACCGCTAAATTCAAAGCATAAACATAAAAATTAAACATGGAGAGTATTAACGGTGGTGTGCGCTATTTATTTAATACATAATATTTGTTAATACGTTTGTGTAGCGATTCAAAATTTACATATTTGACTATAATAAAAGAAATTTTTCTATTTTTTACACATAAGTCATTTTAGATAGACTTTTACTAAAATGTTTAAATTTGTCTGATCTTTTGACAACTGAAATATATAAATGAAAGCCTTCTAAATTGATTCCAATAGGTCTCAAATTGCGATTTTTTGCGTTTTTCAAGATATACTAGTTTTTTGTAGGGAACTTCAGGATAAAAAATAATATTTTCAATATTTGGTTTGATGAAAGAAATAAAAGTAAGGAAATATATTGTTGTTCAAATACGTCAAATTAAAATAGGAAATTAGGTTATTTTGCATGCATTTGTCAAGATGCACCGAATGACATAAGAAGATAGAACTTTTCCGCGAAAAAACGAATACGCACGAATTTTGATTACAAAACAAATAACGTGACTCTTAATCCGCAAATAAGTTGTCGAAGGAAAGATTATGAGAAAAAAATCTAAATAGTGGAGAACAGAAAATGGCGGGGTTGAGTTCCCCCTTAGAATATAAACCATCAAACATTTACTTTTTTACTTTTTTCAGGATTGATTAAAAATAAAAAAGTGGCATATAAAAAAAATTTGTTCAGTATATCCAGTGTTTACTATAATCGTGTTCGACTGTAGTAAGCATGGTTTTATCTCACTTTTACATATTAATGTCCTTAGGGAGTATTAGTGGGTACTGTATTAATAGTTATTAATGCATTCTGCAAAAACATACGACATTGTAATAATTATTCCTTTAAAAATTTAATCGCGGGGTCGAAATTTTATTAAATTACTACTCTAATCGTTTTCAATCGTTTGTTGTGTATAAAACAACTAATGAAAATATCTGAAAAGTATTAGCTTTGTTCGTTATATGTGTAGTTGCTTATAACAGTTGTTCGTTATATCCGGTTTTTACTGTAGAAATCTGCGTTTTCTCTTTCTTGTACATATACATCATTTAAAATGTCAAAAAATCGTTTAAAACCGCTGTTATTAATTTTTTCCTAAAAACAGGGCAAATTACCTATAGTGCACTGGTCGGAACACTAAAAATGTTAGTGTTCCACTGGTCGGAACACTAAAAATATTAGTGTTCCACTGTTCGGAACAATACAAATCGTAGCGTTCTACTTACTTGAACTTTACTGGTAGTGTACCATACACGTCTGTTTTGTTTCTTGAGGTAAAATGAGATCAAATAATAAAAAAACATAGAAATGAATATAACTTTATTTGCAATTACAAAAGGTAGGTATTTTGGCCAGTTTTTGTGACAAAATTATACAGCTTTGGATACAATTTTCATTAATTTACACAACGAACATGATTTTTCCCATAATATTTGGAGATCTCCTTGTAAAATGTTAGTATGAAATGTTTTTCTTAAAAAAATTATACCTGCATCCATCTATAATTCATACTTTTAGGAAATTTTAGCAAAAATATTGAAAATTTGGTTATTGTCACACAATCAACATAATTATTACAAGATACGCGTTTATGATTTTGGATAAATATTACAAAACCTCATACAGGTACCACATGAAAGGCGAATTTCATATATCCATTATTGGAATATTCTTCTTTTTTATGATTTTTGTACAGGTAGTCTTATGCAATAGTGTGTTAGTCTTTAGTGTTCCGGCCGCGGTACACTACGATTTTTAGTGCCCGACAGCGGTACACTACGAATTTCGTTGTGCTCCGGAACAGTACCACTAAAATATTTTTTAATGTTTGTGTACCGGAACACTAACGCTAAAAATTGTTTAGTGTTTGTGTTCCTGGTACGGTACACTACGATAGTGTACCGTTTTTTTTTTTTTTTTGCGAACACTGATTAAAAACGGTGTTTCGTATTTTTCAACAAAAAAAATTGAAAATAGTTCAAGGTGTGATCCTTAAAATAAAGAAAAATCTGTGGCTATATAAAATCTACACATATAAAGTTTATTCCTACACATAGTAGTATACGTATTGTTGATAGTGCTTACTAAACAATTTTCATTAAAACTATTATCTTATTTTGAATTCATCTTTTTTCAGATCCCTAAATGGTTGGTTGCGACATCTAGAAGATCATTTACAATCTTCTAATAATTGTACATCATCATACAATATGGGTGTACCGCCACCATCGTTGCACACATCTAATTTCATATCAAATCAAAATAGCCTTGTTGGTGGTCTACTATTGGAAAATCCAAATATGACCACATCTGGATCATCGGCTACTTCATCGTCATCGTCGGCTTTGTCAATTTCTTCGACGGCATCAAATGCATCGGTAGCCTCATCGTTTGGCAACTTGACACCGAATTGTAATTCATCAACAATTTCTCAATCAATAATGGGATCACGCAATACAGACTGGCAGACAATACAACCTCCAAGCAGGCATCAACTGCAACAGCAACAACAACAGCAGCAGCAACTACAACAGCAAACTAATAAACAGCCACCATCGTCGAGTATAGCTTCAGATTGGTCATCGTTAGTAGTAAAATCCAATAACAATAATAACAATAACAATATGAACAATAATGTTGGCAGTGGCGGTGTCAGCGCCGGAGGTGGTGGAAATGCCGGCGGTGCTAATGGTGTTGGTGTCACGGTCGGTCAACTAGCCGATCAACTCTGTGATAATTTGAATGGTATTACGCTGAATGAATTAGCATCTAGTCAAAATAGTTTAGGACTCAATATCGGAACGAGTATTGTCGATTCATTGGGCAGCGTTGTGGACACAAATAATTGTACATCGTTGGTGAATGGCCTGACAGCGGCGTCAACGGTGGCCGCCACAACGCCCAATCTCTTTGGCACACCAATCCAATCAAATCCAATTATTAATATAATTAATAATAATAATAATTGTAGTAGTCAATTGAATGGTATCGATGATCATGACACCTCATTCTCTAAGAATGGTACTGAAATTTTAGATTTTGATCCCAATTCAAACACAATGAATAATTGCGATAGTTGCAGCAATAATGGCAATAATAATTTGGGTCAGTTACAGGTAAGTTTAAATAATATATTCAAATAGTTGTTGATTATCTTTATTAATTATTAAATTAGTTCATTCAAACATATATAAGCAGTTATCTTATTTGGGTGCTACTAAACTATGCTTGCACACACTACTAGCTATAGCGACGAAATCCAAAAGTCCCGAACTTTTGCCCTTTTTAGCCCATACAAAAGAATAACGGTTATAACGACGAAATATCAGTTGTAACGACCAGTTTTTGCAAAATATTCGAATATTACTGTAAATTTTAACTTCGAAACCTACGAAGAAAAATATTGCTCATAAAATACCGAACATACAGCATGCTCTTTATTTTATTTTCTAGTGACTATGGATATGGAAAGTTCTATTCGGCATCAATGATAATGAAAATATCGTATAACAGTTTCTTTAAAATTTATGTTTTTTCATGTTTTGAGGACATTTTTTTCGAATTGATAGAAAATAAAAAATATCCATGTAGATAATTTGCAACTCTCGACTAAAAATAAGTTAAAATATTTATATATTATTATTCACTTTTTAATGGATGCTATAGCTTTGATATGTTTTTCATTTGTTTCTTGTTTATTTGTTTAATAAGTTTGATAACCTTTTTTAAATACAGTTTAATAAACAAACAAAACTATAATTTCAGCCTCAAATGGGTTATGCCTCTATACTGATGAGTAATTGTGGTGATCACTTGGACATCAATCGTTGGAGTTTAGATAGTAAATATGCTGCACTAAAAACCCGACGTTCCAACAGTCTTACAACCCAGACCATATCCTCATCTGCATCATCCTCCAATTCATCGGTCATCACTGTCAACGATAATTGTTCAAATTCAACTGAAAATTTGGCACAATTCGCCAATAAACCGCGTAGTTTTTCACTATCGATCGAACATCATCGTGGCTCATTGACCAACAGTGGTTCGGATACACGTCTGGATGATTTCAAACCGAACTATATTAAATTTCAGACAAGAAATGTTGGCATGTCCAGCATTGGCCTGTGGCTAAAATCATTGCGTCTACACAAATACATCGAACTGTTTAAGAATATGACATACGAGGATATGCTACAGATAACCGAGGAATATTTACAGAGTTTAGGTGTAACCAAAGGTGCTTCCCACAAATTGGCTTTGTGCATAGATAAACTTAAGGACCGCTGTAATCATTTGGCCAAAATGGAACACGAACTGATGAATGGCCAGCTTAAGCTGCAGGCAGCCATTGAAGAGTTGGCCAATATTGTTCTAACGCCCATGAAACCAATAGAATTAGTTGCCGCTGGCGAAGATAATGTTGCTTTAATGTTTTTGAAAATTGTTGATTTGGGTGAGTATTGATTGATACAAAGCAATTGAAATATATTTATGTAAATATTTGTTTTTTTTTCAGTTTGTACAATTGCTCAAAAGGATCCCTATGCCGTTGTTGATGATGACAATATCAGTGTTATTCTATGGATATTGGATCGTTCCATACACAATGAGGCTTTTGTAAATCATGTTAATCAATTGAAAGAATTGAAATTTAAGCTATCGAAATTAAAGATGTCGCTAACACCGAAAATGCATCACAATAAAAATGGCAGCAATGGTAATTTGAATAAACCAAGGTGAGTTATAGAAAACATTTCAATTCTCATGTAACATGTAAATATCAATTTATTACAAATGTCATTGATGTAAACAAAGGCGTGAATGAGACAATAAATCGGCTATATCTTCAAATTTCACTTGAAATGTTTTAGGGACATTCGTGAATTAGTGCAGTTATGAATCAAATCAAAAAAAAAAAAAACTAATTATTTTTTTTACTGAAAGTGGGTAGGGTCCCCTTGATTCGTTTCACACATAGATACAGATTGACTGTTTATATTCGTCCGATTTCATATCAATGGTCCTTCAAAAATGATATACCCAAAAGTGGTGAAGAGCACCATATACATAGTCTACTCTCCTTACTGTTTTTCTTTTTTTCACCAAAATTATATATCACATTTTTTTTTAATTTTTTTTTTTTGTATTTAAAATAAAACCAAACTAGATTAACTATATCCAAAAATATGTACTAACTCTAACAAATATCACTCATCACCTCCTCCATAGCTGACAGGTTTTCTCTAAATACATGTCGGAATATTTTGAACATTGAAATGTTTTAACAAATTCTGGAAAATGTGAGAGTGCATCGACAATACGATCTTCAGGCGTCCCATGACTTTTATCCGAAAAGAGATTTGCTTTTGTCGAAGTACATCTGAATTGTGCATGATTGAGAAAGAACACTTTGTCCAGTGTCAAATTTTTACCATTTACATTAAGTGTTTGCTTCCGTGCATTTGGATATAATTCAAAATAGGCTTGAAATGCAATCCGAAATCCTGTTATATCTGCAATTTTCTCATCAATTACTCCATTATTTAAATTACGTATACATTCTAGATTCGCTTTAAATTTTGGATTTGTATTTATCATATCATGATAGATGGACAATTTGCGGCCCGTAGGATCTCGCTGTGTTCCCATTGTGTCAAATCCATGTGTAATTTCATGACCCAATATATAACCAATTGAACTGTATTGATATAAGTCATTCAAGCTGACATCATAGATAGGTAATTGTAATGTGGTTATGGGTAATACCACAATATTGTAGATGCGATAGAAATAGGGAGATAGTTTCTTTGTATGCTCTATATATTGAGTGCGGTCTTTCGTTGCAATATAATTGAGTACTGTGTGGTTGGTTTGGAATTTCAACAATTGCATTTGATTGTGATAAAAATTACTTTCGTCTATTTCCAAGTGTTTGTAGATATGTTCCAGTTTTTGCACAGTGTTATTTCGAGGCAAATGCCCAACTTGCAATTGGGTACTATTCAGCTTTTTCAAGAGAAACGACAGAATGTTTGGTTCGAATCCATTCGAATTGTTTAGTAAAACTTTACGAAAATTATCCTTAATATTTTGAAACATTGTTTCAATTTTTGGTATACTTTTTACTAACACTGGATGTTGGTATTCAAATAACCAATCTGTAGCTAAAAACATTAACTGACGAGTCTTTAGAGCACACATTTCAGGTGTAAATTTGGTATAGCCATTGGTGAGCGCACTCCAAAGGAATCTTATTTGTAGATATTCAGAAATGAATTGTTGATCGTAGGCATGCAAAAGTTTATACAGCCTTCTTATGTACGACGTATCCGAAATGATGATTCTTAGATTTTTAACTGGAAACTTTGTGTTGTCCAAGATCATATCCACATAATACCTTAGCCATGGTATTTCTTGTAGCGTTAACAAATTGTACGTTTTGTGAGAACAATTAGTTGAGTGCTCAAGTTTTTGTAAATCATTTTCTAAGCTGGAGAATTGTATCCATTTGTTGCTTATGGTTTCGTTATTCCAACGAAAAGTTGATGTGGTCAACACTTTAAATGTTTGATAGGGGAATTTGACAAATCCTTTATTTTTAATGGGCCTTCGAAGTTTTAAAATGTTGAGATCTTTGAAATAAATTTCCTCCATAAAGACACCATTTAAGCCATATTTGTTTAATATGGCTAATGTTCTTAACCAATCAGCTGATTGATTCGTCTTTATGAATTCTCCGTTTGTTGAAACTGTATCCAGCTGCTCATGTTCTTGCAACCATTTAAGAAATTGTGAAAGGTCCAAATATTTCATATTCGTACAGGATTTAAAATAGGCTCGAGCTTTTTCAATGAACTTTGGTTCCTTTGTTAGTGTTGTTTTCTTTTGCAGTGCAATTGCCATTTCTCGGTTGGTGTAGTACTCAATCATTCGATAATAATCGTGATAATTGCTGATATTTGTGTGCATACTATCCCAATTACCACAAGCATGCTGATAGAAATTCTCACATGGATCTGTGCTCTCGTCCATTGAAGCTTCAATCGATTTTAGATTTCGATGATTAACAATTTTTTGACGATTTGTTAAGGCAGGTGTCGTCGTTGGTAGTTTGATAAGCTCACATACTGCCTGATGTTTAATCGACAGAAACAGCATCATCGTCAAGAGTAAAGATGGATTAAAACAACTGTGCATTGTTCTGTGTGTAATGGCCGACCGACTCCACAAATTAACAACAGCAACTAGTTCTCGAATAGGAAATTAGCGAATGTTGCCGTATTTTCTTTCGCAAATCATTTATATATGAATTACAAACGACACTACAAACGGCTTGTAATCGGATTATAGAAATGATGAATCTAAGAAATTGTTTTGTCTTATTTTAGATTAAACCGCTAATAACAGCTACGACAATGATGGTTTATATATATTAATATATAATACATGCATGCATGACGTATTTTTTATTTATTGGTCAAGTTGAAAAATGCAAACCACATGGTGATACATCTGTTCATTAAACTCTGTTGCGGTTCAAAAATTCGGAGGCTTGGGAATTTTGCTAGTAATCGACAGCATAACCATTATTTTTCATTACGGCGGCACAGCTACGAGGCATTGAATCAACAAAATGCTCAATTTGATCCTTGGGTATACTATTCCTTGCATCCTGAACCTTTGGAAAGAGGTTATGTCTGTTTATTTGTGAAACTCTTTTGATTTTGCTATCTATGATACTCCAAAGATTTTTCTATAGGGTAAAGATCTGATGATTGTGTTGGCCATTGTAAAACCCAGATTTTTGAGTGCCACAATCAATCTTTGACATGTTTTATTGTACGTTTGGAGATTATTGTCAAGCTGAAACATCCAAACAAGATGTGCATTTTCTTTAGCGAGGGAAAAATAGCGTTTTTCCAACACATTAGTGTAAACAATCCATTACTTCATAAATCTGACTCATAATATTTCTCCACTGAGTCGGATTTCAATTAGTATGAGATTTTGCGAAAGATAATCTGGCTTTTCGATTCTTTTTAGAAATAAAAAAAAATTTTTGATAGTTTTCGGGCATGCAGTTTGTCTACGCTCTGTTCTTGAGGTTATATCCAACGACAACCTTTTCACCAATTTCGTTGAACTCTTAAAATTGTATTTCTTTTTTACTGCTATGACAATTTGTTGATCAGTACGAACTGATGTTCTTCTGCAGACTTCCTCCGTGCTGAACTGTAACTACTGATATAGTTACATAAAATCAAGTTATAATTCCAGAAATCACTGATTTATTAATGGAATATTTCTCCGAAATCATTTTCTTTGATAAATTATTTTCACAGTCACTGGTAATTAGCAAAAGTCAAAACCAGACACATGGTTTTGTAATAAAATCCATTTAAAAATTATCTATAAGGATCGAAATAGTTGTAGAAACCAAAACATAGTAATTATAACGGTAAAAATAACTAACATTTTAAAGCTCATCTGCTTGTACTGTAGAGTTGTTTTAGCTTTGTCCAAGCAAAATTTGTGACAATTCCCTTATCCATAAATTAAAATTTATTTATTAATAAATGTTGCGTTCATGCTTTGGTTTTTTTATTTATTTTTTAAGTGCCCGATTTAAAACTGAAAAAAACCAACTGGATATTTGTACTTTTTGCCGTAACTCCACGTATTTAAGTACAATTAAAGAAAAAAATTTTCGACTTTGTTTTACCTTTTCCCATAAATGCCCTTATACATGTACATCCCATTAGTCCACTAATTTGAAGATCTGTTACTGCAGGCAACACAACAAGTCCCTACAGATAGTTTGATTTCTATTTTCCCCTACTGAAAGCAATGTTTTAGTTCTACACCCAAGCACCTCAAACCATCTGCAGCCAGTTTTCGCGCATTAGATATTACGGACTTTTTCAATGTAATAGCCAATACATGTACACTATTTAGTTTGGATCAGATTGTTCGATTAATACTCGTTTCTTTGGAGTTCTTATATGAGTAAAGTGCGATTATACCCCTCTCAGCATCCCGCATGAAGCCGACTATGACTGGCAGAAATCGTTACAATGGGGGTTTAACTCCGCATAAGCCTTCAGATAAGCTTTGGATATAGTATTTACCTTCTAAAGCTCTAGACAATAAAACCAAACCAAAGGAACGACATATTTGAAACTACTTTTCTAACTGTAGCTGACTCCTTACCCGGTATCAACAAGTTACATACAACTTATACGATATTAAAAAAGTGGTGTAGAAGAATGTATCCCGCTGTCTTCCAATTTTGTCAAAATGTATGGACTATTTTAACCACAGGAGATCCAGCAATTTCCATAGATGATCAATCAGAAAATAAGATTTAAATTTTTTTAATATGTATGATTGATTGTAATAAAGTGGTGTTGTTGGGTCTTAACAAAACTACTCAATGAAGATGAATTGATTTCGTAAACGTCATAAATCGTATCTTAAAGATTACTATCCAACTTAATAAATATTATAATACATAAATAAGCGCTTAATTTGTTTACGTCTTTCGACATCATATTTCATCACATTCTTTGTTCTCATCTCTCAGTGTAATGAATATAAAGTAATTTAAATAGTTTTCAATTTTCCAGGTGGAATGGTAAAGCACGTAAATGTGATCAGAAAAATGGCAGCAGTGATCGTATAAATCATCGTAAAAATTCCAATGATATGTTGAATTTTTCTTTGAGTTGTTTGCAGCAACAACATCATCATAATCAACAATTGCAACAACAACAGCAGCAACAACACCATCAACAACAACAGCAAAATCAACAACATCGACGTTCACTTAACAATTTGATTGTGGTTTCTGGCGGACCACAGCAGCCACAGAAAATGATATTCCAACCGGGTCAGGCTATACTCTCCACAACAAATGCTATGAATAATGATGAGATGTCCAGGATTGATATGATCAATCAAAAGCAGCAACAACAACAGCAACAGGCGAGGAAAGCTAGCCTTACCTCGATCAATAATATTAACAACAACAATAATAATAATAATCAAAATAACAATAATTTGGATTCGTTGCAACAACACCACCACAATTCGACATCATCATCGGCTGCTGCATCTGTGCCAAAGAAAACAATGGCTGCTGTCGTTATGGTTAGTACTGATGATCTCATGCAAGCGACTGGCTCTGCGACAGTTATGAATGCAAATAGTAACAGTGTTGTCCTACCACCTTCTCAATCTCAACAAACGCCATCACAACAAGTCCCACCACCACCACCTCCCCAAATACTAATCACAACAAATAATAATAACAATAATAACAGTAACAGTAGTGCTAATAGTCTGCAACATCAACACCACCAGCATCAGCAGCAGCAACAACAACAACAGCAGCAACAGATTTTGTTACAGCAACAACAACAGCAATTGCAGTTATTGGCTGCTGCTGCTGCCGCTGTCGGTAGTTCATGTAATGGTCATGGTCATAGTCTTGGTCATGGTCACAATAGTAGCTGTGGTGTCAGTAGTTGTTGTACATCCTCGCCCCTAAACCTAACACTACCCACCCTTAGTGAAAACTATTCCTCTCATCCCACACAAAATTCATCATCAGCCGCCGCAGCCACCACCAATGCCACAGATGTAACAAAAGCATCCAACATTTCCAATTGCCACAATTCCAATGCGAATTGTCTAAATGACGCCAGTAGTCTGGAGCAGTTGGAAACGTTATGTCTTCAAATGACCGAACAAGCTATTAATTAATTGATTTAAACCTTTTCTTAAATGGTCGATTAATTGATTGATTGAAGAAATTCCATCAGGACTCTTTTGTGAAAATTGTTTTAGTTGTTGTCTATATAACAGCTAATTTGTATTCTTGCTGAATCTGCTGAATTATTTGTAGCCGTAGTAGTAATGATCCGTAATATTGTATTATCTATATTTTTTTGTTTATATTGTTGTGAGTATCTTAAACAAGATTTAGTTAATTTTTTTTTTGGTTAAATTACAAACCATAACAATAATGATGACGATGTTTAAACAAATGCAATTGTTGTAAGATTTGTATTTGCCGTAATTTTTGCTGTTCTAGACTAATTATATATTTCTTATTATCTATATCACACAGATTGTGTGTTATTATTGTGATTGTATGTAAATGTAGAAATGTGTAAAGTCCCTTCCCAATAACACAATATTCCAATTTAGTGTAAATTCGAATCACTTTCTCTATTTAGTTTCCCCATATACATACATAAATCAGAACAATGACATAGAAATAGGGGCTTATTTGAGTAATGTAATTCCGTGTACATGGAGATGAACGTTAATATATGTAACAATTTTTATATTCAAAAACAGACGTTGGCTACAAACCTTCTATACAATGAAGTTGTTGATATTTCTTTGTCAAACATGCGTATTTATGCCTCAAATACATTTGTGCCTTTAAATTCCTATAAGAAATAGAATTCCTTATTTTATTCCCAGACAGTTGAATGAAGAATTTTTTTTCAGTTAATCCTCCTCCAAAATTATTTGGTCAAATTTTTCGCTTGACTGAAGTAGCTAATTTGTCTCCAAAGGCCATTAATTTGTATCAAAGAAAAACGATTCTTGGGACTTTGCTTGTAGGATTTTAATGTCTAACATTTCGCTCTCATTTGTTCTTTGCTTATACAAATTAGATTGTCTACCTCGGTCTTTGTGAGAGTCAATATTGTACCATATTTTTTTTTTTTTTTTTTTTTTTTGATGTTTAATCATCTCAGTCTCTTATAGGAATAGTCTGTTACAAATATGCCCAGAAACAGCATTTGGAAGGAATATATTGAAAATTTATTGTCAAGATTGGCGCAAACAAAAATAAAATTTTACTTGTTATATAGTTAAGGAATTCAGTGTCAATGAAATAAGAAAAACGACGAAACTAGTAAAGTCAGAGATGACCTAACAATATAGCAGAACCTGTGTCTCAAGCACCGAGTGTAGAAAATCCCCATAAATTAAATTGTGCATTTCCATTCCCAGCAATAATTTTGTTTGAATGCATGTTTATTTTCGTGAACATAGTTAGCCTTTTATTTTTAAGTCTGAACCCAGACTTACGTAGTATAATTTTTGTTTCAACAGTTGTTGTAGAAAATTACATAAATCGTGTTGCTTTCTTTATATTTTTAATTAATAATGCATATTATCCATCAACATTTTTTCCATTTATTTTTCTTCTTTACATTTGTAGGAAAATTTGGCCAAATTCGATCAACATTTTACTTTGTTTTGAAACAAATTCCAATGCCATCACATCTGCATCCTATCATTGTCATCATAACCATAATTTATTAAATGAAAAATTATTTGAAAATTGTAATATAGGTCTTGAACAGCATCCAACCTATAAAACTAAACAAAAAAAAAAAGATTTAAAATCTTATAAAAAAACCAAAACTAAATGCAATATTACGCGATATCATTCAATTATTTTTGAGAGTAGATGAAAAAAATAATACCTTGAAAATTATAACAAAAATTACAAAAAAGAGACTGACTTAGATTATTTTCCTTGAAGAAGAACAAAATAAAATACAAATAAAAATAACAACAGGAACAACAACTACGGATAGAAATTGACGATGTATGTTAAGAAAACAAAAATAAATCAATTCATAACAAAAGCGTAGAGATGTTTTGCAAAAGAAAAATAAAAAACAAAAAAATATTACGAAAATTCTCACAATACAAAGAAATGATTTCAAATCAAAAAACCAAAACCATAAAAAACAACTTAATAAGAATTTGACAAAAGGAAAACCCCCATGAATATATTTGCTGAAGTTGGACTTTAAAAAAGTAGTAAACTATATTTTTTTCTCCTAGAAAACTAAAACAAAAAAGAAACAAATCAAACATCTTTTCCACTAACGGAATATAATTGCTGAATTAATGAAATTAACATTTAAAAAAATGAAACACAACATTTTACATTAAAATAACGAACACACACCATCACAACTTACACATTTATATACACACACAGACACGAACACACAAAACAATATCCACCTCCCAAAAAACAAAAACCGTTTTAATTGTAGCCAATATTTCAACTATCACAGAAAATGAAATTATTGTTTAATTACATATATTGTATATTTTTTGTTTATTTTTTTTTTTTAATTTTAATATTACAAAACAAAAACAGATTTATATGCAAAATTATAAATTAAAAAAATCAATATATTATTATGTAGTATATAGCTTATATATTATGACTTACAACAAATTGATTATGCTGATAACAAAAGGACTCTTATATAGAAACTATAAACAAAAAGAACAACAAAAACAAAAAAGATAAACACAAATATATGAAACGTATAAACCAAACAATGATATCGTATCGTCCGTTTCCGCCCCCCTTGTCCATGTGAAAATTACAAAACAAACAACCCAAAACCAACATACAAAGTTTTCAACTCTATATATAAATATTGTGTAACTTACAACATAAAGAAAAAAATTATATAAAAACTAGAAAATGATACGAGTTAAATTAATATCCTCTTAACCATATAAATAACAAAACAAAACGAAAAAATGAAACAAAAATGTTGTATGAATGTTTGTTTGTTTTTATTTAATTATATATATTTTATTAAATTATATGTGTAATGTTTCATTCGTCTATCGAAAATATTTTATGTATTTTATATTATTAACTATTTTAAATTATTTTTCTATTATGTAATTTTTAAGACAGCCTGTGTAATTTTTATTTTCTTATAATTGTATTTTCAATATATAAGACATTTGTTTTCATTTGTAAAAATTTGATTTTGTTTTTTATTCGCTGCAGCTTGGTTTTCAGAGAACCAAAATAATACAAAAATTACTCTGCACGAACACTGTGCCGATGTACTAGGATTCAATTTGATAATTGAAAAAACATTTTAATTTGCATAAAAATACGTGTGTCTTCGTGTTCTTTTCGTTTTGTAAAAAAGATAAAACCATATAAAAAATTATGTGCTAATTAAACACTTTTTTAAGAAAATATATTTATACATTAATAATTATTTCAGTCTAAGACATGAGATTATTTTCAAAATAAAATTTGCAACCATTTAGCAAAAATATTAATAATAATATATAAACAATATAATAAATAAATATTATTCCCACTTTAAGAAATGTTAATTTTTTATATTTTGAAAACTTATGTTTAATATTTGTTATACAACAACAAATAAAAATTCATTTTAAGAACTAGATATTATGAAATGTTTTCTTTTAAAGCAATCGAAAGATAGGTTTTCCAACTTGACCCATATAAGGAAAAAACACGAGATTATATCATTCGAGGTTTTTAGATTGGTTTAAATTAAAAAAAAAAATCGAGAAATTTGCTCCTATAAGCGGGTTTTTTAAATGAATGGATTTTATATAATAAACTGTTTTCTTATATGGGCAAAACATTTTCTTATGTCCCTGTTTTCCTTATATAAGATGTTCTTATATCCGTCGTCTACTGTAGGTACAATTTTCATTAAAACAGATTGTGACCTCTTTCCTGAAGACGTCGTGCCAAAATACAACTTCTAATAATTCTAAATATAGTTTCGTGTCTTGCTACGATTGTAATAAACAAATCATTAAAAATAATGTATCTTACAGTCCGGTTTATTGAGTCAAACAGAGACAAACAATCTGGATTATAGAATGCTGCACAATAAGTTGTGAAATGCAGTTCGTTTTACCGAATGATCCGATTAGAGGTCCGTATATTAGAGATTTGACTGTATATTTAACATGGAAATCACATTTCAATCATCCCGCAGGAAGATTGAGCAGATAAAAATAATGACATTAATCTAGAAGCTGGTTTATGGAAAAGGGAGGATGACATTTCGTGGGCCGATTTGGCACAAATATTGGACTTTCACATTAAGCTAATTGAAATGATTTTCCATTCCATGTTTTCGCTTGTTTGCTGTTTATTGTTACCAAATAACAGAACACATTTTTTGTTATGGATAAAGAATCTGCATTGAATGATGTCCAACGAATAATGGGAAGTAATCTGTGAGATTTAATTAAATGATAGTAATTCGCATTCGCTTCATTGTTTTATTAGATATTTGGTTCCCTTTTTAATTAATTTTTATATTTTATCTCCTTTAAATCGTATTGTGGTCCATTATTTTATAATTTTTTCTCTATTTCCTTATTCTACTTCTACTTAGGTTAGGTTTGGGGATGTGCAGTCACTTATGTGGCTGCAGCACTCTGAGACCGGTTAGGTCCGTTGTGATCATCCACGAGAAGAGAAGATATAAGGACAGATCTGTAGGGGAGAGAAGCTTACAGAAATATATAAAAAAGGTAAGATTGTAATTAAGGTCGATGGCTATAGGAATCAGACAGAAGATGTGTTACGAGTCAAGGTTGTGCGTTCCTAACCACTTTAGGTTTCTAATTATGCTGTAGATTAGAGCAGGTTCGGTTGTTGAGAAGACGCTGAGACTTGGTAGAAAATGAGCACCCACTAGTCTGTGCCGCCTGTAAGCCAGGGCTGAGCAGTAACACAGGAGATGCTCAATTGTCCCCGTCTCTTCCTCGTCAACGCAGAGTCTACAGGAATCAATACATCAAGATCCCATTTACTAGTAAAAGCCTTGATATTACAGTAACCAGTAATGATTCCTGTCATCACTCTAATTTCAGCTTTGCTCAGGTTCAGCAGTGAGTGCGTTCTTTTGGTTCGTTGTGCCAAAGTAGGCACTTTTGTCGTAGAATGCCTCAAAGTTCCGGTAAAAATGACATATGGGTGGTTTGGTTGAGTCATCGGTTGCTAGATCTGTGGATTGAGATCCTCCGCTCTTTCATTACCCAAGATGTCACAATGTCCTGGTACCCAACACAACCGATAGTTGTAAGTAAGTTTTTCCAAAGCTGCTCTTAACTTGAGGACGGCCTCAGATTTGATATAATTTGATATATAGTCACCGGTTCAACGACCTCTGCATTCAGACTTTTTATCAATTCCGCTGACTTCCAAATCGCGAAGATTTCAGCTTGGAAAACACTACAGTTGCGATCCAGCTTGTAGGCCTAGCCTTTCACAGTAGACGCCCGCCCCTGTACCTTCTTCCATCTTGGATCCGTCTGTATAGAAGGCCAGACCGTCCAGAGGAGGGTTACTTCGGTCTACTAGGAATAACGACATCTACATCGTCAAATATCAGGATTGGTGATGTATAGTCGCTTTGTTTAACGCGTTGGTCCAATGTCATACCTGGTTCGTTCAAATTACTATCATGCCCAAAGGTACAGTTTGAATTTATAATTCTGCTACCAACTTCTTTAAGTGAATGGTTTATGGATTCAAGTTTAACGTTGTTAAAGGCTCCCTCTATATCTAGGAAGGCGGCCAGCGTAAAATTTGAATTTTCCACCTCGTGCAGTACAGATTCTCCAGACTTGCCTTTTATGTATGCGTGTTGTGAGTTGTTAAGAGAGGTGGTGTCTATGCGACTCCTAATCTCTATGTCGATAAGTCTTTCGAGAGTCTTGAGGAGAAAGGATGATAAGCTATAGCCCTTTGGTGCAGAGTGGCTTGGTTTCCCTGCTTTGGTTGCTCCATTGCTATGGCACATCTGATCCTTTATTCATCATCAATTATTTTTGGGAATTACATAATAAAACGATAATAGATTTGAAAAGTTTGATGTTTACTTCGTTATATCTCGAATTTGTAGCACATGTATTTGTTTCTAAATGTAATTTAAAGCATACTTTTAGACACTAAGTCTAGCATTTTTAACATTTTATTGTAATATTGCCAACTCATTATTATAATTTGTTGTATTATTCTAACATTTGTAGATTATAGCATATTTTTAGACGGTTTTACTACATAACTTAATTATGGCATGTTTACATTTAGATTGTAATATTAAAAATATAAATGCTGTTTTCAACGGTAGACGTGTTGACTACATAATGTAAGTCCTTGAAGTAAATTTTTATCGTTTATTTATTCAAACAAAATCGGAGTTTTTTAATTTGAAAATTTGATTTGTTTGTTTGAATTCTTCTGATTTAATTCTTCTTCCCGCAATATTTAATCATTTAAGATTGTTATTTCTGGTAAATTTTTTAATTTATTAATTGATGAATCATTCTGGCTGGACTAAGGAAGGATCTGATCTTGCTAACACAGCAACTACCACAATCAAACAACTAAAATACGATAATAACTTGTCTTCTTTATACCATAATATCAGGATATCAAAATTTAAAAGATTTAAATTTCATTCGAATTTTTTTTAACATGCACAAAATCTATTTTTTGATTTGACTTGTTCTGTCAAATCTTTGATTAAAAATGTTATTAGCTGGAGCCTTATGGTGTGACTGTGTATGTAATGTTTAAAAAAAAAATAAAAAAATAATTCTAAACTTCATTTAAAGATGAATTTTACAACATTGGTAAGAAGAAATTTATGAAGCGGTAAAAATTGACAAGAGATACTGAATAATAACGTTATAATTTAGTTTGCTAGTTAGGAACAAGTATCAAATTATTGCTGTTTTTGACCATCTGTATGGACAAATTATCAGTAATACGACCACCTAGATAAGTCAACGAAACTGGGAACGTGGCATTACGTGATATTGAACTTCTTGGGACATTATATCCTTCAGACACCTCTCTTACTGATATTCCAATCGTATAATCGCCAAAAATGTGTTTATCTATTTGTAAACAATGCGTTTTATTAACCCCAACCCGAATTTATCGCTTGTCATTTCTATTTGGTTGTCTTTGAACGTATGTTACCATTATTTTGCTAATTCTTAAACTTAAACTTTGCGGAAAAATATAAACTATTGTACCTATAATAGCGGTATTTGTTTAATTCGTCAGAGATGCATATGTTTTGAACCAGCGAATATCGACTTATCTATTTTATCAATAAAAGTCAAAAACTTCTGGGGAAAAATACAATTACAGATTCAATTGAACCTAAAACGCTGAAAAAATACCAAGTTGATATATTTTTGAACTTCAAATAAAGTGATTACTACATATTTCCACATTGTCAATATAGTTGTATATGTTTTGACCTCTACTGTAATAAAATACCAATGTACATAAACTTATCATTTGACTGAACTTGATGTGCATATTTTGGATTGGATTTGTTTCGATAGGGGGCTATATCCAAACGATCCACGTTTTCCTATAGCCCACATATATCATTTTTTGTTTTTGAGAATTAGGAAGGCATTTCGGTACTGTGAAAAAGTTATTTACTCACAACTTCTTCACCGCACATATGAACAATTTTTCAATGTCTCATTCTTTCCAATTTAAGCAAATGTATTTCAATAAAATGTAAAATATAAAGTTGGCTTTGAATAAAAAATTTTGAAATTAAATCAGCAAACGCAGAGTTATTGCTAGCATTTCGCTGAAAATATTGAAAGAGATACTGATACACGGAAACACATTTTTAATATACGGATATATTTGCTTTCAACCTTCAAAACAACTATCCTAACCGGCAATATGGTACGCAGTATTTTTTCTCAGCGTTATAATTATGCCCAAATACGGTTGAACGAAGCTTTGGATGGTAAGAAGCACGCCGTGATTTAAAAAATGTATTCAAAAAATGTTTTCGATCACTTTCAGATGTTTTTCGTCGAACTGACATTTTCCCAAAAATAACCAAATTACCACGATTGAAAAGAACATTTTTCGTTAGTGTACCCAAAGCGACCGTTGAGAAATGCAACAAACCGAAGTTGAGGCCAAAACGAATATTGGATCCTAATGAGTGGTGGGTAAACAATGTTTTTAACTGACTTTTCCTGCTCAACTTTTATTTTTGTTCAGGTATGATAGTGACTTAATACCCATGGCCACAAGATATGACCTTGAATTTATTTTAAATATGACCTTGATGGAACGTTATGCTGATGACATTCATTCAGATGGCACATTCAGTCATGTTTATTGGAAAGCATCCGAAGACGTTACCCAATGCAGTCAGACAATGACTCGTTCTACGACACTTGCTGCAAAACGGAATATTCCGATTCCTGAGAAGACAGCAGGGCAAGAAGATATTATTTTTATGACAAATACTGCAAGGTCAGATGATGAATTATTAATAAGCACATCTGAAATGGCACCAAATATACATTTTCAAAATCAGCAAGATAAACGTACTTCAGTTACATTGCCATTTTCAAATATTGCCAAGCATGCTAGGCCGATGTTGGCCACTGATAATATTCCCAGATCCAAGCGTATCAAACATCTCGAGAAAGTATATGAATGTAAACAATGTCACAAGAAGTTCGATCGGCCATGGGTGTTAAATGGTCATATGCGTTTACATACTGGCGAGAAACCATTTGTTTGTCCCGTGGAGTCATGCAAAAAAAGTTTTGCCGATAGGTAAAAGCCGATGTACAGCTTAAAGTATAAACAACTACAATTTCCATGTAATTTCAGATCCAATTTAAGAGCCCATCAACGTACCAAAGGTCATCATAACTGGAAGTACCAGTGTCCGCAATGTACCAAAGCATTTAGTCAGGAAAGTTATTTAAATCGCCATTGTTTACAAGCTTGTCGTAAATTTTTGGCTTCACACAAAAATGCATGATCTATTCTTAGTTGTTTAATTTAAATATTTTGTTAATATTTGTGTTTCGTTTTATTCAAATAATAAATTGTAAAATTGATTTAACTTTTATTTGAGATATCTTAGTCGGTGTTTAGTGTTTGATGAGGAATTTTTATACCCTACATTACAGATTTAAATATAGGGTATAAAAATTCCTCATCAAACTAGTTTTTCAATAATTTGGTGTCAACAGGAAAACATTTTTTAGCATAAACCAGGAATATTGGCAAAGTGTTGCCGACAATCTATATGGTTCACAATGCTTATAGCGTGTATACCAATTTCAATTTTGGATATTTGTCTTTTTTATTATTTAATAAATACATTGATTTATGATCTGTATTTAATACCTACATACAGTGGTGGTCACGTAATTAAAACATTTGTTATGGCAAACACTTTTTAATCAGCCCTCGATTCGTTTGAAGTTGTTTTAAATTTTTTTTAATTCAGAACACATCTCTATGCTCTATACACATAAGAGATTTTGTATGAAAATAGAAAATTATAGTATGCGACTTTTCCATAAATAACGGTTTTTATGAAAAACATCGTCTTTGAAGTGGCCACATAATTAAAACATTTTGTGATATTGTACTTTACAGCGGTTTTTTGGAAATTATTTTTAAAAAACGCATTAAATTTGTTAATTTAAGTAAACTAATTACAGATAAAATTATTAAGAAAATCTGTAAAATCTATCAAAATTGGCAACAATTTTTACAGTATACCTAACATTCGGAAAATCACACTGAATATAGAAAATAAGCGTCCGAATGAACCAGAAATTGCTAGAATTAGTAGGAAACAATAAATACTTATTAAATAAATTAAAAATTGAAATGAAAACATAAAGAAATTGGAATACACCTAACGAGTAGTACAAAATATATTTTATCAAAAAATAGACCAGTAACAATTGAATGAATGTGAATGAACAGAGATAAATGCCTATGTTGACCAGGAAAAGTTTTTAAATATATATATAAATACATGTGTTCTACTTTTGTGGTGAAAAACTTCGAACGAGCTAGTTGAATTTTATGTACGCCTGTTAAGTGCAGTATATGTAAGTGTTCTGAATTAAAAAATTTAAAACTACTTCAAACGAATCGAGGGTTGATCATAAAATGTTTGCTATAGTAAATGTTTTATTTATGTGACCACCACTGTAAATAAAAATAAAACATGCATGAGCATAAAGGGTCGTACCAAATTTATTGCGCTTCGTACAAAAATACTCACCTTCTCATCTTCATAGGGTTTATTAGACGTCCGTATTACCCAAATACGCAAAGACTTTATTTGCATCTGTGCTTATTGAAAACGGCGAAAATGGATGAAAACATTTTTTTAATTGATCGAAAAATGTTTACTTTTACAAAAACACAAATTTTTCAATGACTTGAATTCTATTTTCAAAAAACAAAAAAATTCAAAATACGCATTGTCAATGTTGAAAAATTTCAACTTTATATTTTTATACGCAATGCGTATTTGGGTAACATTCATTGAAATACATGTATTAAACTGTTGAGGTGAATAAATTCGTACGCGTACGTATGAATTTAGATACCCTAATAAATAACGACATGTGAAACATTCCCAATACATTTCCGTTGCCTTGGTGTTCCATCCAAAAATTTGTTATTGTTTACTACCAAAAAACGGAAGTGACATACCACACAAATATACAAACAAATTCAGATACAACTTAAATAAGGTTTAAAAAAATAAATATGGAGAATATGCAAAATGTAAATAAATCACAGGCAGGACAGGAAGTCAGCAGCCATGCTAATGAACCCAAAATGTGGCCAAGTGAACGCATCGCACAAGGCGGACTCTTTCATACCCCAAAAATTAAATATAGCAAGGAAACGGCGGATCTACTAAAATGTAAGAAAATTTATATGTATTTTGAATATGTTTCACTAATAAGGAATAACTTGTATTTCCGATTAGGAGATCAACATCCCCCATATTATTTTTTAAATAATGCTAATATAATATAGAAAATAAATTATAAAAAATCTTATCATTTACAGTACTGATGAAAGAGTCCAAAATGACAATGTTAATGCGAAAACAAATCGATCATCATTTGCGTAACGGCGAACCATTACCCAAACCCGAACCAAGACGTATAAATATCTACAAAGATGCCGATACTGAAGCAATGGAGATATTACGAAAAGCGCATAATGCCAAAAGGAAATCACTATCGGAAATTAAAGCAAGCGGTGCATATGAGACACCACGTAATCGTCCCAAGCCCGATGATAAAATGCCATCAGAAAAATCAAAGAAATTATTACAAGAAGCGATGTCAGGTTTGCGTATGTCCGAAACTACTTTGAAACCAAAACGGAAACCGAAAACGAAACACGAACCACCGGCAACAACGGATGATATAATCAATGAATGTAAGTATTTCATATTAAATGCATCTGGGTTTTTATTGAGTGAGTGGCTATATGGTAAGGTTGGAATTTTTTAAAATTAAGTACTAAAGGTATTAAATGAACTAAGTTTTGCAGTGTAGATCTGGACTTTTTACATTTTGTTGTATGGTTTCTAGAAATAGCACAACATATCTGGAATATGAACTATTGTTGTAATAAACACAAAAATGGTACTAAACAATTGAAAGGGATAACATTATAAAAATTTATTAGGGATGACCTTTCGAATAGTCATCGTGCATCATTATATTGAACCCTACATAGATGACCACTGTTTCTAATTTCTATATAAAAATCAGCATTAAACATGTATTACAATTTCCATTACAGTATTGGATCAAATAAACGAGCGTGCAGAATGGCTCGCAGAAATGGAACAGTTAGGTGAAGGTAAACGTTATCGAGATGAGATACGTGAACAAATAGCAGAACGTTTGCGTCAAATAAAGGCACTCGAAACAAAGAAGCAGTTAACCAATAAAGGCATTTCCTATTTGGAGTAATCATCTGACTACAAATACATTTTTCTTATATCTTACTTTCCAATATATATTATAATACTACCTCTAATGGTTTCAATTTTGTAATTGGTTTAAATAAAAAAAAACTAAATTTTTTGCAAATTTATTAATTAATGAATTTATTTCAAGCCAAAATCAATGAACGCAAAGAAATATCCTTAATTAGACGTTAATTAATGTTTAGTAATTGATATCATAAATATGTTATTCGGTTGTTATAATAAATAGTCGATCTTATTAATACGAAAGTGTGGCCAAATTAAAATAATATCAATTCATTTGATCATAATCAAAATTTAAAATCATTTTTATATATTGGCTTCTTTTTGCATTACTTGACACATATTTGGAAGTGTGTGTGAGTGTGCAGAGATCAAATTAACATGCTGGCAAGTGACAACGAAAATCACCAGCTGCTTCGGCAACACGATTACGAATCAAATAACCACTAAGTACTTCGGCAACTTCGTGTGGGCGATCTTCGTGTACAGCATGGCCGCAGCGAGCCAAAACTTGCATTTGAAAGCGTCCTTGCATTTGGCCAACGGTAAGAGCCTTGTCGAGACCATCAATACTGGCTAATAATAGCTGTTTGGGCAAGCGTAAATTGAGAAATTTCTCACTTAAACCAGAAAACCAGCCAACCCAATATTTTTCCGATTTCGAGAGATCTATGCGCCAGGTATATCTGCAAAAAACATAGACACATTTATGTTGTGACCTCAAAGGAAAATGTAAATACCCATACTTTTTGGTATTCTCCTCTGGGGCAGTTGTTGTGGGTCTCTTGAATTCTGGAGATTTAGGTTCCTCGCCTTCATCGGCAGCCTCCTCATCTTCGGAAATACTAAAGGGATGTGTAAATTTGTTGTTGGCAGTGTCTTCGGCCGAATCATCCTCTGCAAGTGGCAACTCATTTGTGGCCAATTTCTTTGTTGTGCAACTAAAAGAAAATAAACAATTTAATAAAATGTTTTTGCTATTTTAAAAAATAGTCAATGCATTATTCATACTTAATTATTTGACCCGGCATCGAAACTTTAGCACTATCAATATTACGTATTTGACCGCTACGTATGCACCATTCAATTGCATTGGGTATACTTTTAAAATATTGTGGTCGCGAACGTAGAAAGCTTTGCATACTGGCCAATGCCTCCATGGCAGTACCTTCAACCACATCGATGACAGTGATACCAATTAAATTTGGTATTAATTCCAAATGGGCAAAATGTACAGCAATAGCACCACCCATAGAATGGCCAACAACATAGACTGGTGGCATATTTGTGGGATAGAGTTTTAACATTAGATCGCCAATATCCCTAAATTGAAAGAGAAGAGGAAATGCAAACATGACAGAAATTATTAGAAAGTCCAAAATAAAAAGACGAAGACTCAAGATCTTGTTTATCATGGAAATATCGGAATTTATCAAAAAAGCAAAAAAACACGCTAATTTCCCAGCTAACAATTTTTTCCGAGGGCTCTGAATTCAGAATTTATTTCAAGCTTCCTGATTTTTCTTTTTTTTAGAAAATTACGTATTTTTCTAAATTTTTCTTAGAAATTGGACCGAGAATCGGTCGATTTCCATTTAGAATTTCTGCACATTTTCCTGTGCATTTTCGGAAGAAAATATCGGAGAGCAGACTCTTCATATTTGTGGCATATTCTCTTCCACATGAATAAATAGTGGTGTGGTTTTTATTGTTGTTAAGTTCATACGAAGTAAATTGATAAATTAAAAAAAAATCCGTAGAACGTTTTTCCGGAAAATCTTCTATTTTTTCAAATTCCATCCGAATTTCTTTCCGATTTCGGAAATTTTTGTAACGAGAACTATATCAATATCTAAACAAATTTTAATAGTTTTCGTTTTGGGCCAAATTAAAACCTCATTCCAAATTTCATTACTATTGGGATATGTACTTTTTTTTACAAAAATACACGAAATTGACTGAGAAAATACATCTAAGTATATCCTCATAAGTAACAATTTGGGTTTTCTTGTTTATTCCACACGATACAAATTTAGAAAGGCCTAATGCCCCGAATTGCCCTGGTATATTCCAATAAATCAGAAACCCAAAGACAGTGTGTTCTTCCACTTTACTTATACTGGAACTAAAAACAACTCTATATTGTTGTAGCACTCCTAATATTTCAGATGACACCACCCAATTGTGGTGAAAAACTTCATATCTTCCACATCAAGTTTCAATAATAAACAGGTACTATCTTACTTGGCTAAAGTATCTGCTGATAAGTCATCATCATCATCGGTAACAGTATCACCATGACCTCGCATATCTATTGATAGGCACTGGCAATGGATCATGTTAGTAATTTCAGTCTGCAAAAATAAGAACAACCATTAGAACACATTTATAATAGAATACCTTTTCGGCTAACTTACACAAAAGTGAGCCCATGTCAATGCCGAATATCCACCGCCATGTAATAGCAACAATAATGGTCCCGGCTTTTCCGGTTGTTTTGTGCGATAGACGCGAAACAAACGCTTATCATCGATTTGGACATCCTCCTTCTCGGCAAAGAATTCACTCCATAGTGATGGCTTAAAATCTCTAGCTCTTGATTTTTTAAATGAATCACTAAAAGGATATGAACAAATTGTTTGTAGTATGCAAAACAAAAAAAAATGAATGTTATAGTTTTTTCTTTAGTTTCCATACAAACCTGCGACCAATTCTTGTGCCAGGAATTGTGGGAGGTAAACGTCCTTTCAACATTGTTCGTTGTAAACTTGACATAATTTTGCAATTTTCTTTTTTAGTTTTTGTTATATGCGAATTTTTTGTTGTTCTTGTATAAATCTCAAATATTCTTATTCTCAAATTTCTTTCGTCCCGATATTAAATAAGGGGGATGCATCAACTATTTGTTATAACTGCGAAAACTACTGCAGAACATTGATATGTCACAGAGATTTTGTCGAAATAAACAGATTCATACAAATTTTGTATGAAACTTCATGTAAGAAATAATAAAGAAATGTTCTGTTTAAAAAATCCGATGAAAATTCAAATATTTTTATTCATAACTCTTTATTTTATTTGTTAATTATGAATAAAAACAATTATTTTGACATCCAAATGTACCAACAGCTGTGTGAGGCAACTATCGATTCATGGGTTGTTCGGCAACGAACTGGTTCACATAAATGATTCCATAAAATGAACTATCGAAACTTCTTCCATCGTTCATTCTGTATATTATAGCACAAATGACATTTTTACTCTATTTACATTATACTGGATTTAGCATGAGATATTCATATGATTTATTACAGCACATGAAGTCTGATATAGCGCACAATTCTGTATCATTAAGTCAAAAATCACGATTTTGTTAAATCCTCAAGAATGGTTTAACCCATGCACTATAGTTAATTTGGACAGTTTTTTAAGCAAAAAGTAAATTTTTTAAATTTGGAAAATATCTTTTTTGATGACATTAAAAAGAAAGCATGTCAAATTTTTATTCTGTAAGATTTTTTGCGTAAAAGTGTCTTAAGGGAACCCCCCCCATTCTCGATTTTTTATTTTTAAGATTTTAAATGGACTGGTAAATGAATACCAATGCTTGTTAAGGTTTGTAACTTGGCACATATATATTTGAAGATTTAAAAAGGAAGAAAAATAATTTACCAAAATTTGTTGTTGTTGTTTTGTTGTTGTTTTTTGGGTTCAAAGAAAAGTCCACATTTTCGATGGCGGGCACGATAACTCCTCACTGGAACATCGGAATCCGAAAATTCCAACTGTGTTACAAAGAGGACATGTCTGGCTCTCGTATGAACTAGGATTATTGACTTCGCACAACAATTAACAAAATGGCGGAACTTTGAAAATTTGTTTATGAAAAATCGCCTATTTTTACCACAAACTAAGTTAAAAAATAAGGAAGATCTTCACCGATTGGCTTTATCCTAGTTCATACGAGAGCTACACATTCCCAGAGAAACGTGTCAAAATTTGAAACCGATTGGATTATTAGTTTTTGAGTTATCGTCCCCGCCATTCGTTTTGAGAAAAACGCGTTTAAAGTTTGAGAAATCCTTTAGCCGTCACTTGATGCTTACACAATAAATCGGCTATATCTTCAAGAGTTCTTGAGATTTTCACTTGAAATTTTGTAGGAACATTCTAGAATTAGAGTAGATTCGAATTAAATCAAAAAAAAATTTGACACCAAAAAAGGGGGGGGGGGGGTCCCCTTAAGAGCGGCGCAAATCGTAGCCAAACTCTAAACTTTGAAAATAAAATTAAAGAAAAAAAATTAAGGCGTATTTAAAACTTTTGAAACCGCTAAATACAAAGCATAAAATAAAAATTAAAGTGTTGGCGTGCTGTTTATTTTTTATGTTTATTTAATATATAATATTTGATAATACGTTTGTGTAGCGATTCAAAATGTACATAGTTGACTATAATATAAGAAATGGTGTGGATTTTTTACACATAAATCATTATATATAGACTTTTACTAAAATGTTTAAATTTGTCTAATCTTTTGACCACTGAAATATATTAATGAAAGCCTTCTAAATTGATTCCAATAGGTCCCAAATTGCGATTTTTTGCGTTTTTAATAATGTATCAGTTTTTTTTATGAAACTTCAGAATAAATAATAAAATATTCGGTATTTGGTTTGATTAAAGAAATAAAAGAAAAGAAACATATCGTTGTTTACTACTTCCCCGCAAGTAATGTTGACAATAACAACAATATGGACGAAAAATACGTCAAATTAAAAGAGAAAATTAGGTTATTTTGCATGCATTTGTCAAGATGGACCAAATGTCATGGGAAGAATACACTCGAATTTTGATTACAAAATAAATAACGTGACTCGTAAACCGCAAATAGGTTGTCGAAAGAAAGATTATAAGGAAAAAATCTAAAACGTGGATAAGAGGAAATGACGGGCTTGAGTTCCCCTTACAATATAAACTAACAAATAAACTACTTTTCTCAGCATTAATTAAAAATAAAAAAGTGACATATGAAATAAATGTTGTTCAGTATATCCAGTGTTTACTATAATCGTGTTCGACTGTAGTAAGCATGGTTTTATCGCACTTTTACATATTAATAGCTTTAAGGAGCATATCTGAATTAATCGTTATTAATGCATTTTGCAATAATTAATTTGTATAATTATTCCTTTAAAAATTTAATCGCGGGGACGAATTTTCGTTTTCAACCGTTTTTTGAGTATAAGAGAACTAATGAAAATATCTGAGAAAAAGTTAACTTTGTTCGTTATATGTGTAGTTGCATATAACCATTGTTCGTTATATCCGGTTTCTACTGTGGAAATTTTATTTTTTTTTTTATTTTCGCTTGTTATACACAAAAGATGTGACTTTAAAGATGAATTTTACAACATTTGTAAGAAGAAATGTATGATTTGTGAATGAATCAACATGTAAATCATCGATTTTGAAAAGAAAACCTGAAATTCCATTCATTTTTAGCGTTTTTGTTAAAATTTTTTAAAATTGTACTTTGAGAACGATTTTGAAATGTGTCCCTTTTTCTAGTCTCGGTATTAAATCGACTCAGCCAATGTTTTAATTGTCAATTCGATTGCATATGTTTCAAAAAAGTTAACCCGTTAAAATGTTCTAAAAGTATGTTTAGATTTACGAAATCCACTCGATCTCAAATTTAAATTCCATAGCGTATACATCAAATATCCACTGGATTTGTGAGCAGGATTACGTGACGTATAAGCTATGGAATTATTTTCATTTGGAATTATTTGCTAAGATCATCCTGGTAGACCAGCTGAATATCTGCGCCACTCAAGTTTGCTGTCAAAATGCATTATTGTGAATTGACTTCCATTATGAAAACGTAAACAAAGTAGAAATTTTTGACATTAGACTTGAGAAAAAACGGCTGACTTTCGCCAGCTGGGTGTCCTTATTAATAGATCTTGCATTCGATTACAATTGCAAATTTTAGTTCATTGAGAGAAAATGTATTTTTTTGTACAAAAACTGCGTTGCATCCATTGTATAATTATTACAATGTACGACATAGCCACCAGTTGATTCAATTTTTTCATTACATATGTTGTGAATGTGTGTATTGTTTAAAATGTTTATTAAAGGCGCGTTTAGACTGTGCCTTCCAAATCGAGGTACAAAATCCCAGCTGTTTAGACTAGTATTAAAATGAAAAGATGTGGATTTGTCAGCTGTTATTTGTTACGTATACATACATATTTCACTGCTGTCATAATCTCTGAGGCAAATGGTTAATCATTATTTTCATAATATTGTTAGGAATTGATCAGAAATGTAAAAACACGTTTTTTTTTAAATTATATCAATATTTATTATAAATGCAACCAAACAATTTTTCAGCAGCTGACATATTTTTTGACAGTTATTTTGAATATTGACTAATTATAAAGCATACTTTATTTTTTTGATGCAAAAGCAGGGATGTATTTCAAATTATTTCGATTTAGTATAGGATTTTTTTAGCAAGTAACTCGAGATAATGCACATTATCACGATAAAAGTAGTAGTCTAAACGCGCCTTATGACAAATAAATTAAAATTAAATAGAAACCCATTTCTAGACCACTCGACTGGAAGAAATTACTCTGTTATACATGAAACAAACATTTAATGGCGTTATCTTCTCGATTTTGGAAAGAAATCAGAATATTATTAATTTTAGAATTGTTCATTTTTTCTTCCCAACTACCTGTTGTGTACATTTATTTTATGTTTGACAGAAGAAGACACCACCTACAGAGTTGTTTTATTTTATTCACTTCAAGTTATCTACCTTGTATTATTGTACCATGGTTCCTCTCCGGTAAATGGCAAGCATTTAAATATATAACGATTATAAAAACACGTTCCCCTATTTCTGTTCCTTCCAATAAATGTCTTAAATCCGCATCTATGAAAATATCTGCAAAGTCGATTGAAAACAATTTTTCATTTTGCAATTTTTTTAGCCAAATGTGTGCAAATTGCAGCCATTTAGATCGGAATATACATTCATATTTATTTACATATATAAGATTACATGATATAACTCTAAAAGCGAATTTACATATAACATTTAATCATGATTAAAGGCTGAATCAGGGTTTATTTTCTTAATCAGGCTAAATTTACCATGATTTACCACACAAATTTAAATCATCGTGCAGCAGGATTTATTTTAAATCATGATCGAAATCATGATACTATTGAGATGCAACGCGGGTTTTGTACGAAAAAATACAACTCTCTCACAATGTACCAAAATTTGCAACTGTTTTTACATGCCGTTTGTTTTTAAATTTAACGGCTGACAAATGCAAAAATGACAGATCAAAGGAAAATAAAAATTAATTATAGAATTTTTGTGTTTTTAGGTGTTTTTTTACTTTCCAAACGATCACAGTATTGCAAAAACAATTCCATTGTGGTAATTCTTCTATTCTTTTTCAAATTGCAAACAAATATTTTTGGCGCAAATTAATAATTTTGTATGTATACTAACAAACATCAGCTCATCGGCATTTAGATCATGATTAAGGGTATGTGTAAACAATTAGGGTGTATTTCTGGATTTCGTTAATCGAGTCTATTTAAAATCGTATATGTAAATGTACTTTTAGTGTTTTATGTGTTTTTTTTTTACTTTCCAAACGATCACAGTATTGCAAAAAAACTAATAGCTGACTTGCCTGTAATATGGGGTTTTGAATAAATACTTCTTTGCAATGTTTGTTCATTGT